TTCATATAGTGACAAACCCGGAAACCTCCAATTCGTTTTCCAGAAAACGGATTTTATTTAGAGTGTAATTCCACCTAATTCCTGCAATTCCGGAATTGCCGAAACAAATGCCCACCTATTCTTTGGAATCCTGTAAAAAAAGGGTTTATGAAAGTGCACCGTGACACACACCCTTTTTTCCGTTTTTAAAATATCTGATAAACCCTTTTTCCAAATCTTAAACCTAGAAACCATTTATTATCTTTGTCATATACGGAAAAAAGGGTTTAAGGTACGTTGCACTTTCATAAACCCTTCTTTTGTTAAATACGCCATCAAAAACGTTTTTGCCGTTTATTATTCTGCGGATTTTTTTACTATGAATTCCCGGAATTCAGTACCCACACACCCACACCCACTAGAGGTGTGCGGGGCAGGAATTTTCGTGCCCCGCAAATTTCCAATACCCGTCTCGCCGCAGCCCGTGCACCCAGAGGGTCATATCGCTCCGCCCACCCGCCGATTTTGTTGCCGGGCCCGCCCCATCCGTATAACCCGAAGATATTTTATATTAAGTAATTTGTTTACTTTAAATTATTTATTGCATATAATTAATTACACTTTTCAACAAAATATCTGAGGCAAAAGTTATATGTATTTACTTGAATAACCTGTAGCCGATCGAATCAGTATAATATCATTGACTGTATATAGATTGATACTAGTTCTTCTCTGAGATATGTGATGACACCGGTTGAACTAAATGTGCGTTCCACGCCAGGTGATGAGGCAGGGATGCGAAATATTTGTTTTGCTAGTTTAGCCATATTGGGTAGTAAACGTTCATTTTCTTTCCAGAATAGCAGCGGATTAGCAATGTGTTCTTTTAAAAACGAACACTGTGCTAAATTTATCTACTGATAAATTTCTAATTCACGACGCACACGTTTTACAGTTGTCATATTATTGGTTCCTTTATCAAAATCTGCTTCATCATCAGATTGTGTTGTGTATAATTTGAATTCCTTTCAAGATGGTGGTGAAGAGCTAGCGTTTCCTGAAGATAGTAATGGAGAATTATAATCGATTTGATGCGTTTCAATAATTTTAGTTATTTCAGCTTTAACAAGACAATTAGCATGTGTACGTTCAACATCAGTGGCGCGCTTGAGCATTCGTGTACGTGGATTCAGTATTGCAGCGATCCAATGAAGATCATGTAAACTAAACATAGCTCTCAATAATTGTTGGGTCCGTCTTTTGAAGAAAATAAGACCTAAAACAAAAAGATTTCTATTCGATTTCTTTTTCATGAGTGACTTACCTGTGGCCGCTTTATCAGCTGCTTCGTCCTTTGTAACAACCAGACATTCGAAAAGATACCAATAGGATGTAACCACAATATGAAGAGATGGTGTGTTAGTTGCTTGTACACGTTCAATCACGTTTTTCCATGGAGTAAATAAACTCGTAATAGCAGCTACAGTTGATACATCAATCGTAGGCAGAATATGAAGAGCACCCTTCTCACTTGCGATGTTTGTTAAAGTTGAATATGAAGACAAAACACTTTCGAGCAATTGTTTCTTGTTTAATGGTAGGCTTTCCTAATTCTTGCTGTATCGGATTCCAATTGACCTAAAGGAAACGCGAGTGAAAGATCGTAAGAAAAATAGATTGTTATTAAATGAAATTAAAAATACCCTTTTTACATAGCAACACCGCTATTTGCATCGAACTATTGTCGTCAGTATTTGACTGGCATAATGGGACAGATTTTTTCTAATACGTTGACGTGATCACGTTCTAGTGACGATAATAAACTTCGTAAGGCTTGTTCAACAGATTTTTCGTCGAGAATAATATCATCTTCAGATTCACTTGCGCTCGAATCTCGGTCATCATAATGCATGAGAGAGTCGGTATCAATTAGTAGTAAAATCATTCTAAGTAGATTGATCATCATGTAGATTTTGGTTGGTCAATTGCTTTCTTTGTCTTCTTTGTATTTTCTTTGTGGTCCCAGCACTATAAAATGGAGCAGTCGTCCTATTCCGCAATGTTGAACATTTCGGAACCAGTTCCGCCCCAGGAATCAGTTGGGTGTGGGTGTGGATATCAGTGTTGGTGCACTGAATTCCGGAACCGTTGGGAATTAGGCGGAATCAGTAGGAATTCCGTGTAATTCCGGAATTGAATCGGAAGGGAAAAACGGAATTCCGGGAATTAGATGGAATTGATTCCGTGAGCGGAACTGGTTCCTGAATGTTCAACATTGCGGAATAGGATGTATTATCTGAACTACTTGGTAGTCTTCTAATGCTTTTACGAGGTTACTACCACGATCACATACAAAGGTTATTTTATCCATAACATGATTGAGTCCAAAACGAGAATGAGCATTAGTAATTGGCTATTAAATGACACAAAGAAAACTAAAAGAAAGATAAA